CGGTGCCTTTACGCACAAAATACTCTTCGGCAAGTTCTGGATGGTCATCGAGCCACTGTTCGACCTGGGCGAACGATAAAGTCATTGTTTAGCCATAGTTTTAGGTCATCTCAATCCTGGCTGCCCACACATCATGCTAGAAGTCGAAAGATTCCCCGAAGTTGGCCGGCCAGCCGTCACTTTGTCATCGGGGTTGCGATAAAGCTCGGTCGATCGCGCATGTAACTTATGTAAAGAGTGTAAACAAACTGTATGTGGCCAAAAAATGCTCTGCCGTGCCGATGGAAGATTGTATCGACGCGTCCCGCAGATTAACGATCACTCCGTCTTCAACTCGAATCAAACGCTGCTAAATCAGGCCCTTGTACATGTAATATTATATCAAAGCACTGTTACTCAGATGTGATGATAAAACGAGGGCATGCAATGAGCAACGATACAATGTTGTGTCACGAGTCGCTTGTTCAACCGCAGACCGCTACAGGACATCGATTTGAGCCTTTTGTCGTTGACTCGTCTCGCTTCGTCGCCTTGTTACACTTGATAGGGTTTCCACTGATCGCGAACGCCCCCGAAATACCGCTCACAACATTGATAATTTGTATTTAATATCGCTCCACGACTCCGCCAACCGCTTTAGAAATATAAAACAGAAAGCTGATTTTTAATTTCAGTGTGGTTGCTGTGGTCATGTGAGAACCGATGGACCAATCAACAAAACGATTTCGCGCGAAATCGCGAATTTGTGAAACACACAAGGCCCAAGCGCTTGCATTACAATAACGTGCTAAGCAAAGGGGGCCATCGCAGAAATCAAGTTTTCATGTGGTAAAAAGATACTATCTCTCTTCATTACTTTCAGCCTCCTTATTATTTCGTGTCCGGCTTTTTGCTGGGTCCGCCGATGTCACGCACATTGTTAGTCTTCGTAATATTATAATTCAAGACTAATAATTAAACGGAGTTAAATTTTCTGTGCAGTACACGAGCTTTAATTAATTTGGCGGACTAAAGATTTTTACCCGGGTAAAAACTGCAAACTGCATTCTTCTGTTGACTTTATTTCATCCTCCCCCCCCCCCCCCCCCCCTTTATTCATGTCAGCAGTTTCTCTCCGGCCTTCGAGTCTTCCGTTATATTCAACACAACGCGGTCTAAATCTGTTGCAAATTTAATTTGAAATTGAAATTGCAGCTGCGAAGTCCGATTCGTTCATCTTTTTACATCCCTCAAAACTAGAAAGTCACTAAGGCGGGGATCTTTAGACCGATTTCTTCCTTTTGCTACCAGGGTAAGAATTTTTCCAATTTTTCCTTGCATGCTTTCATGGACTCAATATTAAAATAATGCCCGAAAAGAACACTTTAGGATGTTCTAATGCCAAATCCATTTGAAGAACGCAAAAATGGTGTTTCAGAAAGTCGAATCATAAAATTTGAAAACGATGACAAGCAGAATCAGATCTATCTGCGCTTTCGAGACTCGCGCTATATTTTACATCCCCAAGTTTACGTGCCTACAGCCTGTCTCAAAATAAAGTGATGTTAGAGGTTTAGCGGCTTTTACACAAAGTATCGTTTGATCTCCCTCCAAGAAAAACCACTGGCGGATTATTAGCTACCAGTCTAGCTAGCTAGCAAGCCCGGGGGGGTACTCCCTTATATAAGCTATATAGGTATAGGTATGTGCGGCGCCAAAGGGTATGGTTTTTGAGCCGTTTTGGTCTGAAAACGGTTATAGATTTTGACCATTTTGGTCTGAAATAGGGTATGTTTTGCCTACCGGTCTGAAATAGGGTATAGATTATTGCCATTTTGGCTTTAAAGGGGGAAATTTGCCCGAAAATTGTAGGGGTAAGGTCTGAAATAAGGAAGGGAAAATCAATATTTTGGTCTGAAATAGGGTAAGGGTTTCAAGAAGCGTGCCACACACCCCCACCCAAAATTTCGGAGAGTACCCCCCCCCCCCGGGCTAGCAAGCTACGCCACTTCAGTATGTTTATGTTGATATGCATCGCTAGCTACATGCGGTTGAGAGTCTCAATTAGACCAATTAGTCCCAAGAGTCAAGTGGCCCTAAACATGCTAAATGTTAACATCAACAGACAACACGCAACGATTTTTTTCACTGCCAAAAGTCAATTGCATGGAAATAAAACGTTAACCAACAGCTAAGGTTTATGAAATAACATTGATAACAGAAATGCTGATATTTGTACAGTCAACCGTTGAAGCCCGAACCCAGACCCTCCCAAGGCCCCAATATACAGACTCTTAGAACAGTAAACATCGCCAAGTTTTTCAGATGATCCAAAATGTTATCTACGATATCTGGTCCTCTTAAGGCCATTTACAAATGCAAGTGGGCTCTTTTCCCAAATAAAAAACCATTAAACGATCATTGTATTACAGTGCGACTACTCGATCGAAGCGGGCCAGTTTGAAGAAAAAGAAAACTTTGGCTCGGTCAATTCCAAGCCCACTCATACCACCCCCCCCCTCCCCCCCCCCCCCCTCCTCCCCCCCCTAGGTTTCCCGAGAGGTCCGCGTTTGTTGGTGTCAAATTTTGTCTGTATGCTTCAACGCGATTGGTCAGTTTACGAAAAAGGTCGCCATCCTTTGTTCTCAATTAACGTTTTGATTGGTTACTTTTCTTCAAACTGGCCCGCTTCGAGTAGTCGCACTGTAAATCATGTTCGGCACGAGGGGAATTTTTGCAGGGACTACATGAAGCGGGTCCTCGTTGAGTTTACAAAGGGGACAGGAACAGACAGTTCAATATCCCTTATTCTCCCTAGTTTTTTCGGTCCTTACTCCATCCTCTCTATAATTTTCTCGGCCGTTTCGCCCTCCTCCCTAAATTGTACTGTTCCTCTTCCCTGTTTACACTGAGCCTGGAATTCAATCACACGAAATAACTATTTTGTAAGAGCATAAAGTTATACCGCAAGATTTTACGATTATTTTATCACGCTCGCTGAAGCCTTGTCTGCGCGCGAGCGCAGAGGAATTTTCGCGCGTTGTTTATTCATGTGTAAATGAAATTCATCGCTTCCACGGAGCCACTCAGTACTACTCCAAAAAGTGTTCATCACGAGTCCCATTCAGTCAACCGACTCTTCTGTGTCCTGCTTGCTTTAGACGAACGTGAAATATCACTGTAAGTACCACTCAACTGAGCACACTACAAAACAATCCGCCTTGTGTTGTACCGACCTTACAAACCGCGGTATGTTGTTTACCAGTCGGATCGAGCCTTTAAAGGTTAAAAGGCATAGAGCTGGAATGTGGTCTTAGGATCTTACTGAATTTGAGGTCTGGCATTGCCAGTTTTGTCTTGTTTGTAACCTTAGGGATATAAAATACGGCAAGTAACTAGTATACATTTGAAATTTTATCATTCATTACGTATGTGGCCATGTAGTCCAGGCCGGTAGTGTTCACTTCCCATATATCGTGAATAAATGATAGCAAGAGAAAACATTGCCCTATAATAGTTGCGCTTTTTCTCTATCAGGGGACTGAAGTCAATCAATAGAGCGCGCGAAAACATGAACTGTCTAAATGATTCGGCGCGATTATACGTACGTGATCGGTCGAAAACACACTGGACAAAGAGTGCGCGCTCATCAACACTGGACAGAGGAAAGAGGGAAGAAGTTTCCGAACGACTTATCACACCGACTGTAGATACCTTTACGCGCTTTTGACTGTTTTCCGAACGACTTATCACACCGACTGTAGATACCTTTACGCGCTTTTGACAAAAACAACAACTACCAAGCCGACTTTGTTCAGTAAACAGCCCTGTAACGAAACTAACAGAAACGCGACACATGCTACTACAGCGACAATACCCTAGTTATATCAATGGCACTTATTTTAGACCATCATGAATGTCGAACCATGCGCGCGGAATACGAACGAAGCTAACAACAGTACAGGGAGGACCTTAAATCGGTGAGACTTGTAGAAACCTGACGATAAATGATGATTTCAACAAAACACATTGCTGAACACCATCGACTGACAAACCATGCACGAATTGACTGGGACTATGTGGGATGCATATCCTACAGTACAAATAACTACTTTCAACGACTGACTCTAGAAAGCTGGTATACTATAATCTTAGAACGAACGTCAATAACTACCTGCACGACTTATTTACGACTTCAACAAAACAAACGAACGAATTTTGACTTCAACCAAGACCGGTACATCATCACCATCATCATTTTTCTTTGCACTAGTAGGGACATAATTAAGGCCGTATTTAACATATAAAGAAGCCAAAACTTCGTTTGCTTGATAACACGAGAGACATTTATGTTTCCTACATAATTCCAAACCGGCTGACGTGATCCTTTATACATGCCTAGTGGTACATAAGGGGCGGCAACAATTTCCTTCCACTCCGTGTCGGGCGAAATTGTTTTTTTTACGCCCACTTCAAGATGGCGGCCATTTACATTTTGTATTTTTTTAAGCGACTAGTATTGTTTCAGGTTAATCAACAGTTTAGAACTTGAAGTTAGCCAACGTTTTACTGTTTGGGGTTAAAAAATGGTTTAAATTTAATTATGATGTTAAGTAACGATTTTATGATTTGTTCGTAGTAAACCAGTTAGTATTGGTCAGTTTTGACGTATGTTATAGGAGCACGTTATTGCCTTAAAAATTAGTGCTTCGGGCAGCTAGCAGCTCGATTGTGTTATGCTAGGGAATAAGGTTATTGTGGCTTCGAATCAACTCAATTCATGGACTGTGTTCCTTTTTTTGTGGAAAAAGTCTTAACGCCGCCATCTTGCATGCCGCCATCTTGAAGTGGGCGTAAACAAAAAATGGCCAAATATCAGGAATGTAAAATACTGAAAAATTGCCCGTGTCGGTGTTCACAAATATCAGGAATGTTTCATGACAGTATAATATATGGCTTTGGCTTAATTATATATATACTTGATGAAACGGATGAAACATATTCCGTTTATATTTGTGGGAGACGTGGTGGTTTAATGGTTAGCGCGTTCATGATCATGGATCGAACGGTCCTGGTTCGAGCCCTGGCCTGGGTCATTGTGTCTGTTCTTGGGCACATGATACACTTTACTCTCACAGTGCCTCTCTCCCCCTAGGAGTATAAATGGGTACCGGCGACAAAAATGCTGGGAGGTAACCTGCGATGTACTCGCATCCCATCCAGGGGGTTATTGTATTGTTGTATTGTTGGGGAGTAGCAATACTCCTAGTTGGTTTCATTCTAAGGAAACTGGGATTGTGGGCCAGCGGTTTGGCCCGAGTGCGGCTTTACCCATTTCTAAAATAATCAAGATGCTGCAACTTTTTGTGTTTCCGATTGATTTTCGCAATGTTTCCACTAGCCTGAGTATCAGGCTTTTCGGGGGGAGGGATAGCGGGCGGACGCCCTCTCCTCCTCTCTTCTACTCTCCCCCCTCCCCTAAGCCGAAGACCTGATACTCAGGCTATGTTTCCACAAGAAACACAGCCATTATAACAAGAAGTATAAGGAAAATGATTTGGGACAGAAATTATACCTTTGTGTTGACGTCGAAATGTGGCAATTTTGTTTGGACAAGATAATCTCTTGGTTTGAATTGATCCATTCCGTTTTGCTTTTTTAAAATAATATTTTTCTCTCTCAGTCAGTCCTGAAAAGGAATGAAAACAAGTTGCAGAAAAAATGCTGCAATTTTCATGAACCTCGTTTTTGTAAATTCAGTTATATGTGTAAATACATAAGCGTTTTGTTGATGACATACTTATTGGAAAATGTTACTTACTGTACATGTATAAACACATCTTAATTATGACTTACATTTGCTGCGTCAGGTGCACTTAATTTGCGCATTCGCTGGAGATTTCGTCTACTTTCAGCATTTAACCCTGGCCTCCTTAGTTATTCCTTCAATGCATACAAATGCCACCACTTCGTAAAGCAACTTTGCTGAAATATAATTTGACAGGTTCTTGTCAAGACCTTCAACACAAACTTTCCTCAGTACCTTTGTGGAAATGGGGGTTCGTCATAAATTCGGAATCACGTCAAGAGGATATAAATAAACGTGTGTTTCAATGTTTTTATCAGTCATCACCTTCTATTTCGGACTCTTTTATTCAAAACAAGGCCAAACTACTAGTGAAAACAGTAGGAGAACCCTCAAAAAGGTGGCGTGGTCACTTAATTGATAGAGGTGGCCACTAAATAGGGGTTTTATTTATAGTATTATACTGCTAATAGTTTTGGGACTTTGATCATGCACTGGCCGCTTAATAGGGGCGTGTATACATTTCCTGAAAATTCAGTTTCTACTTTAACTAATATAAGCTTAGTTCCCCTGACCGCGTGCTACGAAAAAAACTACAGTCGAAGCTCTCTGAGCAGACACCCTCGTATTTTAAAGCGGACAGCTCTACATGCCCTCTCTACTTTAATACGGTCGCCTTGACAAAACCCCGTTTGAACTCTCATGCAAACTCTGTCTAAACACATTCTCGTAAATGGAAGCGGCCGCGGACACTTTCGGGGGATTTTGGGGTTTTTCTGTTGTTTCTAAGCTCGCGTAAGCGGATCGCCCCAAACGAACAATCCTGTATTGGCTAATAACCTCAATACTAGACCTATTTGGCAATGACAATGCAATGAACTTTATGACACCGTGCTGTTTTCCATAATTGTTTTACACCGTATTAAACATTACAGTGTATTCAATTAAGCTTGGCTTAGCTCTTTAAAGTGGATTTCGAAAAAAGTCAGTTGTAGTTTAAAAATTCTTACCTTCGTTTGTACGCGAAATGGAAGCTGATCGTTCTCAGCTCGAGTCGTCATGATCATTCGGGTATCCTGAGCACCAAACACTTCTATCGGATACGAACTATAACTTATAGCATTGTCCTTTGGATTTTTCACCGTGACGGTTTAAAATCCAATCCTTTGATTTCCATTTTCACGATGATCGCTGAAAGACTTCGGAATGGCTTTCGGAATGTAAAAGCGCGCGAAAGTTGACGCGGGTTACCCGTCAGTTAGTTACCAGTGAAGACATCATCGATCTTCTTGGCTGGGACGGGTGAGACTGGAGCCGATCACATCGTACTCATAAGACATATCCCCGGGATCCCCGGGGTCATATCGTATCAGCACCATACCAATCGGCACCTGGCGAACGATCGCTAAATACGTTCCCGTGTTTGGAACAGTCGTAGAAGCCCGGCCAGCTAAAAGACGGTTCTGTGGCTGACTCGTCCCAGTCGTCTCTTGCGACTCCCAACAAAGGAGACAAAGAGACGACTGGGGACGAGTCAGGTACTGTGGGCTCCCCCTCGACCCTCCCCTCCTCCGCTTTGTCCCGGCTACAGTTCATCTCTTTTGGGTTAGAAGGACGTCGGCTCTCTTTATATTAATTTTGGAGATTTTCTGACATTTTGGAAAATCGAGAAATCCATGATGCGAATATTTGAAATGTATGACGTCATTTTAACGCGATATGTTGTCATAGTTGGCACGTGACTGCCACTACAATGCGGTAAACATTTTACACAACAAACGAGTTTCTGTACAATAGCATGCATACTTTCGGAGAAGCAAGGGGGAGGGAGCACTTTCTAACCCACCTCCCCAGGCGCTGGCCCACATTGAGGTAATCATTGTATTGTAGACAACCATGGCCAGGAGCATGGTGATATGCTCCTGAGACAACGCAATTTTCATTCCTAAAAGTTACGGAAAACATCCTCTCCGCCACTGTTAGGAATCCCCTCCTCCCCATCCCTGCCCGGGTTCTATGTATACCCACTAAGCCGGAAAAGTGGAAACAAAATTGGCCCGGGATATAACGAATAATTCGGGTCAAAACACGATAAAATATCGGAATTGCGTCATAATGCAAGCAAATATGACGTCACAAGTTACACTTGAATGACCTTCCTTGTCACGTCTAAACCGTGACACAGCATTCTTGTAATGTTATGTATTTCAAGCATGCTGAGAAATTAGTGAGGCAACGTGCACATATTGTTGTAATCTCGTATACTTTTACTTTCAGTTCTAATAAACGTAAAAACTTGTATATCCAAAAACCTTCACCGATCGCAGTAAAAAATCCAGAAACGTGTCCAGATTGTGTACACTTTCTGAGAAACTTGATGTCCTCAGCGGCCGAGCGGAAGACTGGAAAACAAAACAAACGTCCACGCGCGCTTTTGTTTGCCAAAGAAAAAAGTTCCAGACAAAAATCACAGTGGATCTAATTGGGATTTTATTGGATGATAATCGGTGTTTACATAAGGTGCGGGAAAAAAAATCGCCTCGTGAAAATTCAACTAAAGACTTCTGACGAGAACGCCCCGCATTTCAAAAGCGTGGTCAAAATAATTTGCAATAATTATGAAACTGAAAACGTGACAAATGTCATGCTGAGCTGAAATATTCAATAACGACTGACTCGTCCCCAGTCGTCTCTCTTGTCTCCTGTTAATATTAACGAGAAGAGAAGTCCTTTGTTGGGAGTCGCAAGTCGCGGGGGATGCTGGGAAGGAGGAAAGCGAAAGCTTTCCTCCTTCCCATCACCCCTTGCGCTCCCCTCGGCCGCGCTAAATATTAACAGGAGATAAGAGAGACGACTGGGGACGAGTCAGCAATAACGACCAAATAACGTTGTCAAGGTGTATGTAAATCGCGCAATTCCGTCATTATCAATTAAACAAAATATTAGCTTTTTGCGAATTTGTGAATATCTAAAATTTGGATTTTTTCGTGGCAGAATCATCGTGAATTCTTTTCAAGAAAAAAATTAACTATAGAAATTCAGCGAAAGCGTTGCTAGAAACGTAACTAAAAGCGTAAAACTGCCAATAATTCGTGTAATTTCTAGTGGGATTAAACGATTTTCCTAGAAAAGCCATGTTTAGTTCTGTTTCAGCATTTCGGGATATTCTTGAGTGGAAATCGTGACTTGAAGTTTTGACGTCATACATTATGACGTCATGGCGACATTGCATAACCTTGGAACCTCGAGTATTTCAGCAACGATGCTGGGCGGAGGTGAGCAAACCGACTCGATCAGTGAATCAGTACAGGATAGTCCTTTAACGAAGCAAAACATGGCTCGAACCGCACAACAATTAAGCTCAGAATTGATGATTGATCCTGAAATGGAGACAGAAACCCCATCAGAGAAATTAGTACGAAAAAGCAAGCAACAGCCTTTCGTTCCAATTGGTGAGTATACAAATGTAAATAAGCTTAAGCTTAAGCTCTTCTGCTCCAAAGGGTTCTGGTACATCTACTTCAAAAACTTCTTCCATCACGATTTCCTCGATCCACGAACAGCTGACGACCACATATATTTGCAAGACATAGATTTAATGCTAAAATTTCGCCGGCCGGCTCGCCAGCGATGTCAAATTTCAGTATATAACCATTTCGGACTTTAGATTTCGTTTATGTGTTGCGAATTTAAGTTATGAGCTTACATTTCGCTGCTTTTAAGTTTGCTATCGTTAAAAAAAGTCCAGCGAAAACCTTTGCCTCGAAGCGACAGAATTGACGCGGAATCGAATTTTCGAATATTTATTCAGGACCATCGTTATCGATCGATTATTAGCTTCTTTAGAAATATATTCTAAAATGTATTTCTGTTGTGAATATAAAATTATTGTTTAGTTTGTTTTGTTTTCTTTCCCATCTTTGTAACTTTAATTTTCTGTTGTAGCAGTTATAAAAGTTAAGCTTACATTGTGTCAGGGATTGTGTAAATCTTCGGATTTTTTTAATTTTAGTTTGGTGAAATTTGAATACAAGTTTATGGATAGTTAAAAATATTCATCAGTCTCGCCTAAAAAAGTGCAATTTTTTTCTCAAGAAAATCACGATTCTAAGAAGGTGGACAAGATACATTTAGCCGAGTACGTGAGAGAATGCTTGCGCGGAAGTCAAATAGTCCTGGCATTTACATTTATACTTTCATTTTACAAGGAAGTAGGAAAATGATGCAATAATTATATAGTTTGAATATCGCCACAGATTTCGTTTTAGAGTTACAATGTTCTGAGGAAAT